TTCTACTGTTTTCCTCTATTTCTTTTAATTGATCATTGAGGAAGGCTTTCTTATCTCTCCTTGCTATTCTTTGGAACTCTACATTCAAATGGGTATATCTTTCCTTTTCTCCTTAGCCTCTCACTTCTCTTCTCTTCACAGCTACTTGTAAGGCCTCCTCAGACAACCATTTTGCCTTTTTGCATTTCTTTTTCTTGGGAATGGTCTTGATCACTGCCTCCTGTACAACGTCACAAACCTCCATCCACAGTTCGTCAGGCACTCCGTCTATCAGATCTGATCCCTTGAATCTATTTGTCACTTCCACTGTATAATCATAAAGGATTTGATTTAGGTCATACCTGACTGGTCTAGAGGTTTTCCCTACTTTCTTCAATTTAAGTCTGAATTTGTCAATAAGGAGTTCATGATCTGAGCCACAGTCAGCTCCTAGTCTTGATTTTGCTGACTGTATAGAGCTTCTCCATCTTTGGCTACAAAGACTATAATCAATCTGATTTCAATATTGACCATCTGGTGACATCCATGTGTAGAGTCTTCTCTTGTTTTGTTGGAAGAGAGTGTTTGTTATGATCAGTGTGTTCTCTTAGCAAAACCATTAGCCTTTGCCCTGCTTCATTCTGTGCTCCAAGACCAAATTTGCCTGTTACTCCAGGTGCTTCTTGACTTCCTACTTTTGCATTCCAGTCCCCTATAATGAAAAGGCCATCTTTTTTTGGTGTTAGTTCTAGGTCTTGTAGGTCTTCATAGAATCATTCAACTTCAACTTCTTCAGCATTACTGAGTGGGGCACAGACTTGGATTACTGTGATATTGAATGGTTTGCCTTGGAACGAACAGAGATCATTCTGTCATTTTTGAGACTGCATCCAAGTACTGCATTTCAGACTCTTTTGTTGACTATGATGGCTACTCCATTTCTTCTAAGGGATTTTTGCCCAAGAGTAGATATAATGGTCATCTGAGTTAAATTCACCCATTCCAGTCCATTTTAGTTAGCTGATTCCCAACATGTCAATGCTCACTCTTGCCATCTCCTGTTTGACCATTTCCAATTTGCCTTCATTCATGGACCTAACATTCCAGGTCCCTATGCAATGTTGCTCTTTACAGCATCAGACTTTACTTTGATCACCAGTCACATCCACAACTGCGCGTTGTTTTCCTTTGGCTCCATCTCTTCATTCTTCCTGGAATTATTTCTCCATTGGTCTCCAGTAGGATACTGGGCACCTACCAACCTGGGGAGTGGGAAGCCCTATTACTCGACCATAAAAATGAATGCATTTGACTCAGTTCTAATAAGGTGGATGAACCTAGAGTCTACTATACAGAGTGACGTTAAGTCAGAAAGAGGAAAACAAATATCGTATATTAACACATATATATGGAATCTAGAAAGGTGGTACAGATGAACCTATTTGCAGGGCAGCAATGGAGACACAGACATAGAGAACAGACTTGTGGACACAGAGAGGAAGGATAGGGTGAGACGAATTGAGAGAGGAGCACTGAAACATACACACCACCACATGTAAAATTAGATAAGCAGTGGAAGTTTGCTGTATGACGCAGGGAGCGCAAATCCAGTTCTCTGTGATGACCTCGGGGGTGGAATAGGGTGGGGTGTGGGAAGGAATTTCAAGAAGTGGGGGGACTTATGTATACCTATGGCTGGTTTATGTTGATATACAGCAGAAATCAACACAATAATGTAAAGCAATTAAAAATAAATAAATTTTTTAAAAACTAAGTTAGTAAGACCTATTATGAAAGAACTATAAGGACTCAAACAGCACGTAGCCTATGCTCTATGAGACTGATCTCACAGCCATCTAGACAACTGGTCAACAAACAGTCTTCTGGGTACCGGGTATTGTTCCAGGCTTGGAGGAGACGGAAAGAAGTCAAAGTTCTTGACCCCAAGAAATCTATACTTCTATAGGCACCCACGTTTCCCACACATACATCCAGAGGCAAGGTTCCTAAAAGACAACACCAATAGCTTGTATTTTTAAGTCACAATGACCCGCACGCTGGAGTTTCACAGCGAAGAAGCTGTTGAGGAAATCAGCGGGCAAGACAAATCTTCTGAGAACAGCCCCTGCTGCCCGCCAAGTCTTACAGCACAAGTGAAATCTCCTGAGAGCACCAAGTGGCAAAGTTTACCCCATCGAGATGGCTGAACTAGGTCTCAATACAACGCCTTTTTGTTTGCAAGTCACTGAGCTGCTTCGTCTCACCCAGGTCATCAGTACCAACATCATAAAGCCTGACCCCTAGAATTCAGGGGAGCTTTGAGAATCTCACCTCCCGCCCCCAGAAATGGATGTAGCCAAATCTAAATAAGCTGGAGGGGGAGCAGCCTATGGAGAGGGAAAGCAGCTAAGGGTGAAGCATCACGCCCCTCTGGCCTCACTAACAAAGAGAAAGGGAAGCTTGCTCCAGGAGACCCAAACATAGCAAAGAACAGAACTCTGGTGGTCAAATGAGAGGTTGATTTCCTCCTCCTACATATCCTACCAAATCAAGAATGGGCTATAAAGGAAAAGGAAGATAATAAACTAGCAGAACATCCATAAAAAGCTAAACATGCAATGGAATCTAGGATCTTTAACCCAAACTAGCTCAGTGGTGTCACCAGGTGAGGTCTTATTCAAATTAAGGATACAGCCTTGAAAATACATATCTCGGCACTTCCTCAGGGTACTATCTGCCCTTCCCCACCAGTTTTCCATGCCCCAAAGTACCCCTGCCCCCAAAGTTAGATACAAAGGCTTCTCTGTGTCATCAGGTTCCTTTGCCTCCATGTGGATGATGCGGACAGAGATCCCCAAAGCCGCCAAGGCGCCAAGGCTCCAAGGCCCAGCTTTCCAAGGCCCCAGCACCCCTGCACTCCCCAACCAAAGTTCCAGTCACACCTGGGAGTCTTTTCTCACTGGCACTCCTGCATGGGCAATGATTAAAGGGCCCCAGGTCCCAGGCAAATGTCTATTAGAAGGCCCGACTAAGAAATCTGGGTGCCAACATCATCGATCCAAACTGTCAATGCCCTGAAAAAAAGAAAATGGATCCTCCCTTTGTGTCCCTCAGTGCCCACCACGGAGCCTGGCACCTAGAAGGAGAGCCTCCAGGGTTCCCGGACAACTTCCTAAATGAACTGGAGACTTACTGCCCTACTCAGCCCAAAGCACAGCCCCAGATGTGGCTGCGGGCGGAGGCAGCCACCAGATGACACCGCCAGACGACGACTGTGATGTAACAACTACAACCCAGCTTAGCCGCTGAGACAAGGTCTGTGACTCCACACCAAAAACCAAGGAAAGTAGGGAGGGAAGCGGAAATGTGGTAGGAAGGAAGGGAAGGGAAGACTTAGAAGGGAGAAATGCTTTTTTTAGGCACATCAGAGACTCAGACATTTACAAGTACCATCCATCATGTTACGACGGCAAGCATGCTGAGAAGCTAAAGGAAGAGGGATTTCTAAAGATGTATAAAACATGTAGGGCTGTACTCCAAATAGAAACTAGGGTGCCTGTCAGCAGTTCAGATTCTGCTTCGTGACTTTATGTAAACAATGCATCTCCCACCCCACCCACGCAGCGGAAATTAGAAGAAGAAACAAATACTTAAAGGAGCTGAGGGCTGCTGGGTACGGTAACTTCTAGTTCAGGTTCTAAGAATGCTATTTCTTTTAACTTAAGAATAAAACAGTAAAATCACAAATAATGCTTATTTCACCCCTACAGTCTCATATAAAAAAGACGGGGACCTTCACTGCCAGTCTCCACCTGCCAACTCACATTCACACTGCAGAGGGAGAAATGCCCCCTGACTGGGCAGAGCCCACCAATGGCTCCCAAGAAGCAGATTACGGGGGACAAAAAGTCTAAGCCCCAGACCTGTTTCTGCCTCAGCCACCAACATGCCCTGGGAGAGTTCAGTTTTTCTATCAGTTTTACCCATGAGGTTGCTGGTCCCTGCCATCCTCAGCCTCACCCTGTTCAGGGAAGCAAGTATGCCAGCAACGCTAGTCCAGGTTAGAGAGAGTGCGTGGGCAGAGGGTGTCCTTACTGCTCTTGTTGCTACAGAGCAGAGAGTCAATTTGTCTATCTAAACCCCAAACTCTTATGTATTGAACATGTCGGAACCTACCAGTTTCCATTTAGTTGGTACAGTCCATCCAGACCATTTCCACTGGGACCAAACTCTGCACGTATGGTGTACATAATTCCTCTTGCCTCCTTCAACTCCAGCCACTCCCCAGGGGCTACAGCCTGTGCCCCTCTCTACCAACCATACCTGGACCCCACCTCTGAACGAACCAAACATCTACCACAACCTCTGGGCAGACCTGAGTGCGCACCACTCCACCGGACTCAGTTTGGCAGAGCATGGGCCCACCCTCCGGGAGGCCACGAGCCCCATCCCCATCTAAGATGAGCGTCCTTCTCATAGCTATCCATTCCAGCAGCTGAGGTTCCAAAGCCAAACCCATCCAGCTGAGATTCAGATGAAGGGGCTATGAAAGGTATGTGGCTTTAGTAAAAGAGGTTCTTCAAGGAAATCAGCATCTAGCCTAGGCCAAGACCTGAGAAGCTCTGGTGACAGCTGTACCTTTACTTGTCAGCGCTGGGAGCTTCTATCCCAGTGCAGAGACGGAGCTAATATTTAATAAGTGGTTTTTTTGCTAGGCACTATGCTAAGCACTGACATTATCATCTCATTTAATCCTCAAGGAAAACCTGGGAGATAGGTACTATTACTATTTTACAGATGAGGAAGCAAAATTTTAGAGGGCACAAGAAAATGCCCTGAGATCTCACTATTTGGTCAGTGGTTAAAGTTTGGCCCAGATGATTCACCTGGATGACTGTCAGAATCATGAGGATAACCACACACGCTTGGCAGGAGTCCTATCCAGGACACAGGGCATTAGGTGTCCTTTGATGCTATCCTCCACGGAGCTCCACTCCCCCAAGCAATGCTCCCCAACTCACCTGCTCAGAGTCCCCCGAGGGGCCTTAGTGCCTCCAGCTCCGTGGGTGATGCTGGAATTCTTGTTGGCAGTCATGGTCATTTCTGCTCTCTGCAAACACAGAGCCCTGTGAAGAAGACAAGACCAATCAGCCAAGTTTCCATGGGTAGCCCAAAGCACCTCAAACATTCCCAGATGACCTCCAGAACTGCCAGCAGGGTTTCTGTGGTGGGAGCGGAAACCACTTTCCCACATATATTTAATTTCGTCTGTTACAGCTTGTGGGCCTCAAGGCTTCCCTGATCTGGGTTGGGGAAAAGTCTGTGAGCTGACAAATAACTTCTCACTTCACAGAAAATGATTTTTAAAACTCCATTCCCATCCAGTTTCTTTTCATTACTGAAATCAGTTTCCCAACTTTCTGGCATGCCATACAGCCCTTATGAATTTTGCCATATTTGTATACTTCCTGAACAATCATTTATTCATTATTTTTCTTGAATCAACTTGAAACTGACATACCGTTCTTAACTTCATTCTAAACAATTAATCACTGACAAATATTTACTGTGTACCCATTTCCTGGACACTGCCATCAACAAAGAATAAACCCAAGTTTCTGCTCTCAGGGATCTTACATCCTAGCAGAGGGAAACAGACAATAAGCAGGCACATCTCATATGTGTGATATGTAAGTGTATGCTTGGGTATAATATGTATAGTGGTAAGTGGTAGGAAGGAAGAATGAAGCAAGGTAGAGGAAAAGGAAAGAAGACGTGCCATTTTAAATAGGATGGTCAGGGAAGAACATCCTAATAAAATGACACCTGAGTCAACACCATAAAATTATGAGCTATCATATTTTTAACACCCATTAAAATAAAATTAATATGCTTTAAAGTATTTAAGCACTACAAAGTGAAAAATGTTGTATATGTACCATGCTGAAGCTGAAACTCCAGTACTTTGGCCACCTCATGCGAAGAGTTGACTCACTGGAAAAGACCCTGATGCTGGGAAAGATTGAGGGCAGGAGGAGAAGGGGACAACAGAGGATGAGATGGTTGAATGGCATCACCGACTCGATGGACATGGGTTTGAGTAAACTCCGGGAGTTGGTGATGGACAGGGAGGCCTGGCGTGCTGCGATTCATGGGGTCACAAAGAGTCAGACACGACTGAGCGACTGAACTGAACTGAACCGTATACAATTAGCTAATATCATATAATGTTGTTTTATGCTAAAATAATGAAGAAAAGTGTTAAAACTTAAGGGTACATCCAGACTGGAAAGGAAAAAGCAAAATTATCACATATTTGCAGATGATACAATTATGCTTGTAGAAAGTCATAACATTTCCACTAAAACACTATTAAACAAGTGGTGCTGGGAAAACTGGTCAACCGCTTGTAAAAGAATGAAACTAGAACACTTTCTAACACCATACACAAAAATAAACTCAAAATGGATTAAAGATCTAAATGTAAGACCAGAAACTATAAAACTCCTAGAGGAGAACATAGGCAAAACACTCTCTGACATAAATCACAGCAGGATCCTCTATGACCCACCTCCCAGAATATTGGAAATAAAAGCAAAAATAAACAAATGGGACCTAATGAAACTTAAAAGCTTTTGCACAACAAAGAAAACTATAAGTAAGGTGAAAAGACAGCCCTCAGATTGGGAGAAAATAATAGCAAATGAAGCAACAGACAAAGGATTAATCTCAAAAATATACAAGCAACTCCTGAAGCTCAATTCCAGAAAAATAAATGACCCAATCAAAAAATGGGCCAAAGAACTAAACAGTCATTTCTCCAAGGAAGACATACAGATGGCTAACAAACACATGAAAAGATGCTCAACATCACTCATTATCAGAGAAATGCAAATCAACACCACAATGAGGTACTATTACACGCCAGTCAGGATGGCTGCTATCCAAAAGTCTACAAGCAATAAATGCTGGAGAGGGTGTGGAGAAAAGGGAACCCTCTTACACTGTTGGTGGGAATGCAAACTAGTACAGCCACTATGGAGAACAGTGTGGAGATTTCTTAAAAAACTGGAAATAGAACTGCCATATGACCCAGCAATCCCACTTCTGGGCATACACACTGAGGAAACCAGATCTGAAAGAGACACGTGCACCCCAATGTTCATCACAGCACTGTTCATAATAGCCAGGACATGGAAGCAACCTAGATGCCCATCAGCAGACGAATGGATAAGAAAGCTGTGGTACATATACACCATGGAATATTACTCAGCCGTTAAAAAGAATTCATTTGAATCAGTTCTAATGAGATGGATGAAACTGGAGCCCAATATACAGAGTGAAGTAAGCCAGAAAGATAAAGACCATTACAGCATACTAACACATATATATGGAATTTAGAAAGATGGTAATGATAACCCTATATGCAAAACAGAAAAAGAGACTCAGATGTACAGAACAGACTTTTGGACTCTGTGGGAGAAGGCGAGGGTGGGATGTTTTGAAAGAACAGCATCTATATTATCTATGGTGAAACAGATCACCAGCCCAGGTTGGATGCATGAGACAAGTGCTAGGGCCTGGTGCACTGGGAAGACCCAGAGGAATCGGGTAGAGAGCAAGGTGGGAGGGGGGATCGGGATGGGGAATACATGTAAATCCATGGCTGATTCATGTCAGTGTATGACAAAACCCACTGAAATGCTGTGAAGTAATTAGCCTCCAACTAACAAAAATAAATGAAAAGAAAAAAAAAATAAAACACTGTTAAACTAATACATAATGCCAAGCATGCTTGCAGGATATAAGGTAATACTTAAAAAATCAATTTCTTTCTACACACTAGCAATGAACAATCTAAAAACAAAATCAAGAAAAATAATTCCATTAATAATAGCAGCTTCCCAGGCGGCGCTAGTGATAAAGAACTCACCTACCAATGCAAGTAGACATAAGAGTTCAATCTCTGGGTCAGAAAGATCCCCTGAAGGAGGGCATGGCAACTCATTTCAGTATTCTTGCCTGGAGAATCCCGTGGACAGAAAAACCTGGCAGGCTACAGTCCATGGGGTCGCAAAGAGTCAGACACAACTGAAGCAACTTAGTATGCTGCACAATAACAGCAACAAAAAGAATGAAATACTTAGGAAGAGATTTAACAAAAGAAGTGCAAGACTTATTCATGGCAAACTGCAAAAGCATCATTGACAGAAAGTAAAGAAGACATAAATAAACAGAAAGACATCCTATGTTCACAATCAGAAAACTCAAAGTTGTTAAGATGGCAGTATTCCCCAAATCGATTTACAGATTGAATTGAATATCCATCAACTGCAGAAATTGACACTGATCCTAAAATTTTATGGGAGTGCCAGGGACCTAGAGCAGTCAAAATAATCATGGAAAAGAAGAATAAACTCGAAAGACTCAGATTTCCCAATTTCAAAATATTACAAAGCCATGGTTATCAAGACAGTGTATGCAGATATAAGAATAGAAATAGAAATCAACAGAATAGAATTGAGAAATAAGAATAGAAATAGAAATCAACAGAATAGAATTGAGAAATAAACTCATACATTAATGGTCAGCTGATTTCAACAAGGATGATAATAAGATAGTTGAAGAGGGAAAGAAGAGTCTTTTCAACAAACGATCCTCAGACAACTCTGTATTTGTATATAAAAGAATAAAGTAGGACACGTACCCTGATACTATACAAAAAAATAAAAATGGATCAAGAACTAAATTTAAGAGCTAAAATTACAAAAGAAAAGCCTGGAAGAAAATATAGAGGTAAATCTTTGTAACACTGGATTAGGCAATGGTTTCTTAGGTATGATACCAAAAGCACAAGCAACAAAAAGAAAAAAGATATAAACTATACTATATTAAATAAAAAATTTCATGCTATATAAAATATAAGAGTAGAAAGACACCCACAGAATGGGAGAATTACCTGCAAATGATATATATTGGCTAAGCTACTTGTATCTAGAATATATAAAGAACTCTTACAACTTAATAATAAAAAAGACACATAATCCAATTTAAAAATATGCAAAGGATTTAAACAGACATTTCTCCAAGGATATAAAATTGGCTAATAAGCACATGAAGCAATGCTCAGCATCACTAGTCATTAGGGAAATACAAAACAAAACCACAATGAGGTACTGGGTTGGCCAAAAAGTTCATTCAGGTTTTTTGTAACATCTTACGGGAAACCCCAAATGAACCTTTTGGTCAACCCAATATTACTTCACACCACCAAGATGACTACAATAAAAAAGACAGACAAAAACAAGCATTAGTTAGACTGTGAGAATGTGGAGAAATTATAACCTTCATTCACTGCTGGTGGGAATGTAAAATTGTGCTGCCACTTTGGAAACAGTTGGCAGTTCCTCAAAAAAGTGATATATAGTTACCACATGACCCAGCATGACCCACTCCTGGATATATAGCCATGAGAAAGGAAATCAGGTCCACACAAATACTTGTACTAATGTTCATAAAAGCCAAAAAGTGGAAACCCAAACGTCCATCAATGGATGATTGCATTGGCAAATGTGGGACTTTCCTGGTGGTCCAGTAGTTGAGACTCCAAGCTACCAATGCATGGGGCATGGGTTCCATCCCTGGTCGGGGAAATAAGATCCTACATGCCACATGGAGTGGCCAAAAGATTTTTTTTAATGTGGTATATCCATAAAATGGAATATTATTCAGACATAAAAAGATACATTCTTCATGGATGAACTCTGATGCCAGTTTTATGAAATGTCCAGAACAGACAAATCTACAGAGATATAAAATTAGTGGTGGCTCAGGGTTGGGTTTAGGGTGGCAGGATGGGGAGTGACTCCTATGAATATGGTGTTTATTTGGGGGTATGAAAAAAAGTTCTGGAATTAGATAGTGGTGATGGTTATATAACTCTACAAATATAAAAAAAAAACAAATGAATTGTACACTTTACAGGGGTGAATTTTATAGCATGTGAATTATATCTCAACGTAGATGTTAAAAAAACTTTAAAATTTTTAAGTGCCTTAGAGAGTGGATGTGACACAGCAATAATTGATGTACCAAACATATTTTCAGTAT